TATGTGATTTTTTTTTTTTTTTGTCACAGGTGTATTTTAGTATATAAATAAACATTGTTGTTTATTTTTTATTTTTTTCGATGAAAATTTGATTCTTGTACTATAAAACATGTAATTAAAAATTGCGATATCACTCGTTGTTCCAAGAAACCCTAACAAATTTATTAGTAACAAACTTTGGCTTATTTTTTAGGGGTCCTCCCTTAATTAATTTATGGGTTTATCATCTTATTGTAATAAAATATTAAAATTACAATCAACTGTTCTTTAGCCTAACATTTATGGGTTAAGTGTGGTTTTTTTGGCAAAGCCTAATGGCTTGAGTGTAGATGTCTGTGTTTGTCAAGTTTTTTCCTGGATTCTATTTAAATAATAATATATAATATCTTTTTTGCTGATAAAAAAAAAATAAAATTAACTCTTTCTCTATCTTGCAGTAGCAGAGGGACCTTAATCATAATCCTGCAAAAATTACACTGGAATATTGATAATAAGTAGTCAAATCAAAAAATTTAAAGCCAAATAGTATGATATGGATTATTTATGTAATTACCATCAACGTTAGTTTATTTATTAAGTATTTTAATTTATAAAATTATATCAATTAAATATTTCAATTTATAAAATTTTCCTATTGAATATTTTAATTATAAAATTAAATTGATTAAATAATTTTTGAATAATTAAAAAATAAAAAATTTATTATATTATGTTCAAAAAAATTATATAATCACATATCAAATTAATTAAAATTTTAATTATAAAATTAAATTGATTAAATAATTTTTGAATAATTAAAAAATAAAAAATTTATTATGTCAAAAATTATAATAATCACATATCAAATTAATAAAAATCTATTACTGCTAATGTGGAGAGGGAGTGATATTATAAAATCATAACTTTTTAGGGTGTAATGCATCAGTTTTTGTAAAGTTTTAAATGTCGTAAAGATAAACACTTAAAGCTTAAGGGTAAATTTATACAGTAAGCCAATAATTAAGGAGTGCATATGTTCACATGCAAGGTTAAGCATACTTTAAGTTAGAACTAATTAAATTAATCAAGTCGAATCAATTCAGTTTGATTTTAAAATTTTTAGTGTTTATTTTGAGTAATGGTTCAAATACTTTTTGATTTAAATCCAAATTAATTCAAAAAATAACTACAAAAATCGATCGAAGTCATTCAATTTAATGGTTCAGTTTTGAACTGGATAGATCATTTGCACCATAATAATTGAGCAGGCTGTCACTACTCACTCACTCACTTAAATAAATAAATAAATAAACAAAAAAACAAATGGTTTTGATCTTTCGAGGTTGTCAGAAAATTGATTTTTATTACAGGAAGCCAATAATGTTTGACTAGTATTTTTTGACAGATCCTTTGATCATTGATGAACTTCCCACGAATTAATTTTGGCCTTCTCTCTTCCATCGACAACTTTATCAACCTTGGCAATGCCAATTTAATTAATCTTGCATGCCTAATCTCGGACAACCTCCACTTAATCAACTTAAATTACAACTAGTAATAGTTTATGTTTATGAGTACCATTTTATATAATAATCTTTTTTTTTTTTGAATATTGAAGGAAGAAATTTGAACCTGAATGTATTTTCAGATCGTATATGCATTTACTACTCAATTATATTTTGATTTGCTTTATTTTAAAAACAAACTTAGAATATAATTTATCATTATAAATATATATTTTTATTTATTTGAACATATCAACACAATCAATAAAGCAAAAAATATTGAAAATTTTGTGAAATTCAAGTGGTTGCAAATGAGATTAGAATCGAATCCTTAAAGCATGTGCAATAAGTACATGACCATCGAGTCTGATTTAATTAGTTTTAAAATCAGTGCATAATTTGTGACAAAAATAATGGTGTTTTAAAAATTATTTGCCTCAACAACGGTTTTTTTTTCTTTTTTTTATAGTTTTCATGAATAATGTGATTGTATTAATAATTTATTTGTCACGTTAACAAAAGCGTGAAGTATAATTAATCAATCATGGAAGTGTTGACATCCAAACCCGGTAAATTGGTTCGAAAGGGCGGACAGAGTAAAGCTTTTGACAAGCTTTTAGGATGACAAGACTAACTAGGGTAGTGAAATGCAGGACACGAAAATAAATTGAATCATATATCGAGACAGAGAACTAATCATCAGAGGCGCCTTTTGGTGGAATAGTATGGAGAGTTAGAAGAACTTCAGGGTTAAAGCGTGTTTAATTAAGAAAAATTTTCGGATGGATTTCCTTGGAATTGACTTACTCGAAAGCAGATAATTCTGGTGGTTGAAGTAAGAGTGTGACAATAAGAGAATCAATTTGAATTCAAAGCGAACAATTCTTCTAGTAGTTGAAGTCAGGACATGACAATAAGGGAATCAATTAGTTCATTGCCAGGTATGCATGTTAGATGATTCATATTAGGAAGTAAAGTGGCATAATTATAAACATATGATATACTCTATGACTTATCCTGAAATTAATACCAAGGTTAGCTGCTAATAGATATCAGCAATGTAGCACGAATAGTTAAACCAAATTAATAAACTCTATATCATATTAAAGTTAAAGGTTACAATTCAAGCTTTATTAAACTCAGATTAACTCGTTTATAATTTATATCTGAGTTGGAGTCAAATTTATTTATAATTTATAGTTAAAAAAATTTTTATTTTTGCTTCTTTAGAAGCTCGAACTTAAATGAATTTTTTTTTGCTTCCTTTAGGAAGCTCGATAACTTAAAATGAATTTTTTTCTAAGTTCAAACTTTGGAATAGATTATAAAACGTGGGCTCATGTATTGCATAATAATATCTCATATAAACATATAATTTTTATATTCAGTAGACGCATTAAATATATATATATATATATATATATATATATATTATATATTCACACATAAAACACGCTGGAAATCCAAGTTCATAATAACAAAATTGAAATGGCCACTAATTTCTTTATCAATTAATATCTTAATTTATAAAATTTTTCTATTGAATATTTTAATTATAAAATTAAATTGATTAAACCACTATTAAATAATTAAAAAATAAAAATTTATTGTTTTCTGAGTTCAACTTTGTCTCTGGCTCGTCTCTTTAAAAGTTGAACTTTTTTTTAGCTCGTTTGATTTAGATGTTTATATTAACGGATAATTGTAGTGAATGTTAATAGTAGATAGCTAGTGACCAATATGGGCTAACCGATGAATATTTATGTTTAATAAAATTTTTGCGGTATTACTGTTAAAAATATGAAAATAACCATTAAAAGTATATTTTATATATGTATTTTAAAAATTGATTGGAAAACTATATTATATTATATTTTAAATGATTATATTTTAATGTATTATATAAATAAGAGTATTAATTAATTTTTAAAATCATATCTAATTAGACAATCATTATTTTTAAATAATTATGAACAAAATGATAAAAATTACTAATTTTAAAAATACTGTAATTTTTTTTGAAAGGCAAAATAAATAAGTTTTATTATTAATTATTTTTATGAGTTTAATTACGTCAAAATATAATATAAGCTACTTGCTCATAAAAAAAAACTTTAAAACGTTGATTGAATCAATGGTTAATTAAGACTTTTATCACTTCATGAAATGCTAATTAAAAACTTTAAACGTTGGGAAATATCAATGCTATAAAAGCCACAGCTGCTTTCCTCGGATTGCTTGATCCCGACTATTATGTGACCAATGAGTAGTAATTAGGTTAAGCATCTCAGTTTAAATAAGATTAGCTAAATGTACTCCTACTTTTGGCTAATTTTATTTTGTTTTCTCAATAAAAAGTTAATTTTTAATCTTGGTTATGAAGAGTTTATGTTTGATTTTATTGTAACTATTTATTCTCCTGTCACAAAATGATTTGGCGACAAGGTTAGATCTTTAGCGACAAAAAGAAAGCCCTTAGAAATAATTGTTAAAAATAATTGTTAATTTTAGATTGCGTTGTTTCGTCTCATTTGTTTTTTAGTTACCCCTTTCCCTCACTGTCCTGGTTGAAATGCCTATCTCTGTAATTCTTTCAATATAATTAAAAAAATATTTCAATTTACGACTTTTTTCTTAAATACTAGTGAAATCGTTGCTTGGATAATTACAAAATTATATATATATATATATATATAATATATATATATATATAGTAATTATATATTATATATATATATATATTATATATATATATTACTATTATATACTATAAAGTTTTAATTCTGTTACCTGTTTTGGAAACATCAAAAACTTAATTTTTTTTAAATTTTAATTACTAAGAAAGTTTTCTAATCGCCACAAGAAATATTTAGCAAAAAGAAAAGTGTTGATTATATCCTGTCACAAATGATTTGGCGACAAGGTTAGAGCTTTAGCGACAAAAACCTTAACATGTATTCCATAATTTATTTTGATATATCTTTAACATGTATTTATATATACCTAACTGTTGGCTTTTATAAACAAAACTCATTTTTAAACCTAATTTATACTTTTTCCTCCCTTTTTTTATATTTAACTGATTTTCACATAACTACTTTTTTCTATTTTTTTAATTTGCACACTTATTTCCATTTTAGAACTAGAATTGTATCAAATAAAATTTTTCTAACATTAGCTATTTTAAATTTTAAATACTTTACTTGGTAAGTAAAGTTCACCTGAAGATACAATTTAGAAAAATCAATATTGAAAACAAATAATTTATGAAAGAGAAAACAAGAAAAATCATCATTTATAATCGAGGCACCAAGTCCATGTTTGAAACTCCACTTGCGTTACGTGCCATGTGAACCAATCCTTGATCTTTGGTTTTCTCCATTATTTTATTATTATTTTTCAATTACATGGAATTGGATAGCCATGAAATAGTGCCTTACTTGCGTCTATATAAGGCCTTGTCGAGGAAGAGCAAAAACACCAACCAAAACGTTGCCTTCGTTTAGGTTATTGTATCAACCATCTCACTTCGCTTCAAAAATATACTCTCTTAATTTTCTCTCTAAATCTCACCAAATCAAATGGCTTTAGCAAGGTGGGCAATTCAAATCTCAGTGGTGGTTCTTGGGCTGTTAGCTATGGCGCAACAGTCCATGCCACTGAGTTTGAGAAACCCCATGCATGAAATTAAACAAAAACCCACTGGCATGCAAACATCTCCTGTGGGCGTTGTTTCTCTTACGAGTGCGGCTGAGTGTTTACTCAATAAATCTGGAGTCTTCACTGTTACCTCCACTCAGAATATTGCTGGTAACCCATCCTTTCTTCGTTACCAGCTTCTTTTTAATTCATTCAATTGCTGGTAACCCATCCTTTCTTCGTTACCAGCTTCTTTTTAATTCATTCAAAAAGGGTCTGTTTGGTATTATTATAAATAACAAATTGAATTAAAAACTTCTGAAAGCTATATTAATTAGTCTGAAGTGATGACTCTTTAAGTTTTTGACTTAAATCTGCTATTAATGACGACTGTTAAGTTCTGGTAATTTAACTTTCAGACAAAAAAATCATATGGGTAATGATTACTGTTCAAAAGGTTACATTTTTTTGATAGACCATTACCGCTTCTTGTATTTGTACAGGAAAAATATTTCGCATTGGGAAAATTAACGGAACAGCCGTTGTATATGCAAGGGCCGGGGAACTAATGGTAGGATTTTCCTTGTATATATACATAGTAAAAATCTTTTCATAAATTCATAAATTTGTGTATTTAACATTCTCCATTATTATTACAATATATATATGAATTAGGTCAACGTGGGCACGACTGTGCAAATCCTTGTGGATAAATTTAATGTTAGAGGAATTGTCCATTTCGGCGGTGCAGCATCGGTAAATGAATCTGTGCTCATTGGTGATGTTTCAGTGCCTGATAAAGTTGCTTACACAGCAGCTTGGAGCTGGATGGAGCTGGAGGGTAATTAATTATTGGAGCTGGAGTATTTTTTTTTTTTTTTTAATCTCACTGAATAAGTTATCAACTTCGTTTTTGTAGTACAATTAATAATTATTTTCAATGGTTTTTTTATAGAATTCTTCGACAGATGAAGTTGAGTATCCCCCTATGGTTCATGGGAATTTGAGTTTTGGAGATTTTAATGTTCCCCAAAAGGGAGATAATTTACTAGGACGCATCTTTTATTGGGCATCGTCATGGTTCACTGGTCAGCAAACACCGAACACAGGTTTTTGGCTTCCCGTAAGCCCAGATTGGCTAAGGATTGCATCTCAGATCCAGGGTTTGAAGTTAGAAACCCATGTGAATGAAACTGTGTACGTACCTTACCAACCATTAGTTCGCTTCGGATTAAAGGCTGGTACTGGCGATTTGTTCATTGTAAACGAAGCATATGGTGATTTCCTTCACAAAACTTTTAACATTTCAACAATCGACACTTCTGATTCTGCTATTGCTTTGGTACGTGTCTATGCTTCGTTCATAAACTAGTAATTAATTAAAACTCTATCAGTATTAATAATCTAATTATCTAATTATTATTATTTGTGGATTGCAGACATGTTTCTCAAATTAACATCCGTACATTGTGTTCCCGCGGAGTTTTTTTTTTTTTTTTTTTTAATCTCACTGAATAAGTTATCAACTTCGTTTTTGTAGTACAATTAATAATTATTTTCAATGGTTTTTGGAGTGTATTTTCAATGCTTGATCCCAACTATTATGTGACCAATGAGTAGTAATTAGGTTAAGCATCTCAGTTTAAATAAGATTAGCTAAATGTACTCCTACTTTTGGCTAAATATCTAAATAAGATTAGCCATGTTGCTGTTAATTATTGATGAAAATGTAGTAATATACTCTCTGATCAATGATCTAAAATAAATAAATGACGTTTAATATTATCTCTATCATTTCTTGCAAAATGAAATATTTAATTTCCTAAACTCGCATGCATAAGGAGCTACCACGTAGTAACCAGCAAAGAAATGCTTTAGACTCATCTTAATCACTTGTAATTACTCAAACTTCGTTACTGATCTGATCTAATAGGATCTGATTTAATAGGAGATTAATAAATTTAGACGATGGATCTAAGCTTACAACAAGCCTGTATCAATTTGTATATCCCGAGGTATGAACACTATCATCAGACATGATGATATTTGGTTATTTCAGGTAAGTCAGAAGGTAGATGATGAGCTAAATGTGTTCAGTCAGTTACTGGAAAAACACCCAGCTCTGATACCATGTTTTACAGAAGGGAAAAAAATTGTTATTTTATTTTTCTGTTAAAGAATTACATTGTTTTTAATGGTACAAACTGCTTCTTAACTATCCACTAAATTACGGCTTAAATTACTCCTAAAGATTTCCACCTAACATTGACTTTTACTTTTACTGTCGTGTACAGGTTAGCTTTTACTGTGTGTACAGGTTAGTGGACAGAGAAATGATGAACTATGATTCTGATCCCTACTTTTTCTCTTCATCCGACACTCCCCCTCAAGTTGAGTAGTGGGATCTCCAATACTTAACTTGTTTAATACGTTATGAAAGGAATTTCCATTAACTGCTTTTGTCAAAATATCTGCCAACTGATCTTCAGATCGAACAAACGGCAATTCCACAATTCCTGCTTCTAGTTTTTCTTTGATGAAGTGTCTATCAATTTCAACATGCTTGGTCCTATCATGTTGAACAGGATTTTCTGAAATGCTGATTGCAGCTCTATTATCACACATAATTTTACTTTCCAAGATGGAAGGAAAACCAATCTCACTTAACAATTTCCTTAGCCAAAGAATTTCAGCTAGGGACCACGAAGCTATTTTCCTCGAAACCTCTGCCTCTGCACTAGACAATGCTACAACTTTCTGTTTCTTACTTTCTCCATGTGACTAAGTTTCCGCCCAACAAAAGGTGAAGTAGCCGAAGTAGATCTGACGAATCAACATTGACTAACTGCCCAGTCTGATCAGTATAACCTGTATATTCCAAGTGCCCATCCGGTTTTTTAAACAGAATTCCTTGACTTAGACGCCATGCCCTTTATAGTACTTGATGATTCTTAACAACTGCATTCATATGATCAGTTTGAGGTCTGTGCATTGAACTGACTTACTACTTCCAACTGCATATGCTATGTCTTGGTCGAGCTGTGTGAAAGATAAATTAATTTTCCAACTTAGTCGTTGATACCCTTTCTTTATCAAACCGATTCTCTCCTTTCTTACTATCTGAAGTCCATGATTTGTTTGCCATAGGCGTGTTCAGCTGGCTTGCAGTCACCATTCCTATTTCTGCCAAGAAATCCCAGAGATTATACTTTTTGACATATAAAAATTCCACTTGTTGATCTCAATACTTCAATTCCAAGGAAGTACTTCAGTGCTCCTAAGTCTTTCATTTCGAATTCAGTGAATAAGTTCCTTCTCAGCTTTGACATTTCTTCATCATCATTTCCTGTAATAATCATATCATCAACGTAGATAATTAAACAAGTAATAAGATTACCCCTTTGCTTAAGGAATAATGTATGATCTGAATTACTTTGTTTAAAATCATATTTCTTCATTACAATTGTAAATCGTCCAAACCAAGCTCTTGGAGACTGTTTAAGACCATAAAGTGACTTCTTCAAACGACAGACTTCTCCAGTTTTAAATCCATTTGTGAACCCTGGTGGTGCTTCCATATAAACTTCTTCTCTGGTGGTGCTTCCATATAAACTTCTTCTCTTAGATCTCCGTGCAAAAAGGCATTTTTTACATCGAATTGATGGAGTGGCCATCCTTTATTAGCTGCTATCGAGAATAATACTCTGATCGTATCAATTTTAGCTACTGGAGAGAAGGTTTCTGAATAGTCTATACCATATGTCTGTGTATATCCTTTTGCTACTAACCGAGCTTTATACCTTTCAACAGTCCCATCCAGTTTGTGTTTGATCGTGAAGACCCAACGACAACCCACTGATTTCTTTCCATCTGGTAATTGACATTTTTCCCATGTGTCATTTTTAATTAGAGCATCCATCTCCGTCTTCATTGCCTGATTTCAATTTTTTGATTTTAAGGCAAGCTCTATAGTATGAGGAACTTCTTCTGAATATAGAGCTATAGTGAAGGCTCTGGCCCTTTCTGATAAGCTCCCCCTGACACCACATTTGTCACTGGATAGTTCGTTCTTCGTGCTTTGTGAACCCCTACCCCAAATATCATAGGCATGTGAATGCATGTGACTAAGGGCAGAAATGCACGTGAATGTATGAGTCGCCTTCTCTTTCCTGTTTCTACAGAGGTCTCCCAAATTATCAACAGTTAGGGCAGTTTCAATAACAGGAGTCTCTGGAGCATCAGAATCCTCTTACCTCAGGTATCAGGGAGGGAAGGGAAGACTTTCTCAGTGGTATTTGATTCCGTAGACTGTATAAATGCTTCAGATGGCCCGGTGGACTGTTAACTGGTTCTGATGGAACGTGTCCTGAACATGTTCCTGACTTGCGAAACCAACTCAGTGTTCTTTAAGTTTTCTCTCTCCCCCTACCACTGGATGGAGTATTATAGTAATACTCGGTAATACTCAGTTTCAAGGAAGTCACAATTTATGGTAGTAAATACTCGACGGGTTTTTGGATCGTAACATCTATAACCCTTCTGATTGACCCCATATCCCACAAACACACATTTAATAGCACAAGGATCAAATTTTGTTCGGTCAACTTTGGGTATATGAACAAAAACAGAACACCCAAATATTCGAGGTTGAATTGTAAGAGTTGAGGGAATTGAGGCAAATTGAGCAAGCATTTGTATTGGTGTCTGAAGTTTTAAAACTTTAGTGGGAAGCCTGTTTAAAAGATAGACTGCTGTGGCAATAGCTTCAGGCCAAAAAAATCTAGGGACACCAGACTCAATTAACATGGCACGAGTCATTTCAAGAAGAATGCGATTTTTCCTTTCTGCCACACCATTTTGTTCGGGTGTGTGAGGACAAGTTGTTTGATGGACAAGTCCTTTTTGGTGAGAAAATTGCTTCATGGATTCATGATTCATTTTATGTATCTTCACCCCCATTATCAAGATCGTTAGAATCTTAATAGTTGATTTAGAATTGAGTTTTGGTATCATAGTTATAAAATTAGAATAAATTTATTCAACAACTTTTTCAAATTTATTTTTAACAAAAAATACACCCATGTCATACGAGTCAGTCATTTCACAAAGAGTATAAATAATCTAAAACCTTGACCTTCCTAAGACAAGGAGCTGGACCCCACACGTCAGAATGAACAAAGAAAAAGGAGCACTCCATATGGGTATTACTCGGTTTAAAAGTTTGGTCCTTATGACTTGCCAAAACACACGTCGTCACCACCTTAAATATTATTTGACTTAAATTATAAATTTTGGAAATAACACAGACTTAAATAACCTATGGATGGATGTCCCAGTCGTCGGTGCCAAAGCCAAGCTTCCCGTTCAGTAGTTCCGTGAGCCAGCATTACAGTACCGTGTTGGGCCACTTCATCCACATAATACAATCCATGATGCTCAGTGCCACGTCCAATAATCTTCCCGCTCCTGATATCCTGTAAAATACAAAAGGTAGGATGTATTAGTACAATACAATTTAATTCCTTTGTCACATGACTAATCGACAACAATTTATGAGACAATGAGGGAACATAAAGACAATTTGGTATTTTTAATGTCGGTGAAATTTCAACAGATCCTGCTCCTTCTACGCTTGCAGTGCTTCCATTTGCAGTTTGGACATGGGTTTTTTTTGGTTTTAATGGTGCTATTATGTCAGCCGCCTCAAAAGTCATTGTATCAGTAGCACCACAGTCAAAAATCCAACGATTATCTTTTCTTGTCTGTTTATTATTATTTTCAAAAGATTTGGGCCTCAAAAGTCATTGTATCAGTAGCACCACAGTCAAAAATCCAACGATTATCTTTTCTTGTCTGTTTATTATTATTTTCAAAAGATTTGGGTTTTATGTTAAATGACCCCATTCTTTTTCCTTCACCTTCTAGGGTTCCATCTGCCCTTTCATTTTGTGCTGCCACCATCCCCATCGCTCCTCTCTCACTCTGACCTCCTCTGCTGTTGCCACCGCTGCTGGCAGCCTCTCAGTTACCCACGGCGGCGGCTGCTTTGCTGGTCTTTGTGCCCTTGTTTCGGTGATTCTCGTTCCACCATTCTGGATACCCAATTAATTCGAAGCATTGATCTTTTGTGTGTTTGCTCATCCCACAATGAGAGCACTTGAGTCTCGATTTATCTGGACGGGATGATGAACCATCGTTTCTTGGTTCTGACCGCCGCTGGCCACGCGCGACGAGTCCTACACCAGTTGCTTCGCTTGCTTCTTTCTTCCCGATGATGACAAATCCGTCGCCTATGCCCTGTGATGGCGATTCTCTGTTAGCTGGTCCCATGATGTTCAATCGGGCGGCTTCTTTCCGAGCAGAGGCGTAGGCGGCTTCAGCTGAGGGAAGATGCTCCGATCTGAGGATTTCCCTTTTGATCTGATCGTACAAGTGATCTATTCCATTTAAGAATTGAAATAGTTTTTGTTCTTTTGTTCTTGTTTGACTTTATTGTATGTCGCGATATCTGTTGAGCATGTCTGTCATCGGATTAGGCTCCCTGCAATCGATCTCCCCCCATATTCCTTGCATGGTGAGCCAAAATTCTTCTAGTGTTGATGATCCCTGTTTCATGCTGTTTGCTCTGGTATGTAGATCAAATATCTGTAACTTATCTTTCCCACTGCTATATGTGATAACAAGAGCATTCCACAAATCTTTAGCTGTGGAATACTCTGTTAAGTTGTTTGCTAGTTGTGGTTCCATGTTCTGAATTAACCATGAGAACACAATCAAATCTTCTTGTTCCCACTTTTCAAAATTTCAAAAAATGAATCTCCAGCGATGGATGTTATCAGCAGTTCAGTGATGTGGTTTTAAACAATTTTTTTTATTTTCCCCAATAGTCTTTTCATCATACGTGACCATATTGCAAATTTTGGCTATTTAATTTTGAACATTGATGAGTAAGTTATCTGAAATGGGTTTGTTTCTGGTTGTTGGGTATTGATCAGGTGTTGCAATTCTTGTCAGGTCTTCGTCCGTTGAGACCCGAGGTATGAACCTATCATCAGACATGATGTATTTGGTATTTTCAGTAAGTTAGAAGGTAGATGATGAGCTAAATTGTTCAGTCAGTTCTGACGAAAAAACACCAGCTCTGATACCATGGTCTCTGATACCATGTTTTACAGAGGGAAAAAATTGTTATTTTATTTTTCTGTAAAGATTACATTGTTTTTAATGTACAAACTGCTTCTAACTATCCACTAATTACGGCTCTAATTACTCCTAAAGTTCCACCTAACATTGACTTTTACTTTTACTGTGTGTACAGGTTAGTGGACAGGGAAATGATGAACTATGATTCTGATCCCTACTTTTTCTCTTCATCCGACAGTTTTTGGTTCAGACAACTGAAAGCAGATCTGTAACTCTAGGGATTATAATTCTATCTATTTTGCACGTGATAGCTTGTCGCTTTTCTTAGTTCCTAGTTCATTGTGGCATTTTGTCGAACAGTTTTGTACTGCATGGAAAGAGATTATAATCTGTAATGAAACGATAAATAGCCTTTTTATCTAAGTTAATAATTATGTTTGAAGTGATTATCGATTTCGATTACTTGTTCTACTCTTCTTTTCCTTCTCTTTGCAATAATTATGTTTGAAGTGATTATCGATTACTTGTCTACCTTCTTTTCCTTCTCTTTGCCTGTATAGGCTAACCAAGACAACATTTGCTCTTTTTTAATTTAGATTTTGACACAGCATTAACTGAAAAAAGAACTAGGTTACATTAATAACAATTGAAATGGAGCCACAAGATTGGAGAAAAAATAATTTTCTCCCTCCTCTATTCTTTGCCTGATACTGAATCCTTATTTTCTTCCAATTTCAGAATTAACTATCTTCAAACTTTTTTTTCACTCTCTAGCAAATTTAACTAATATTAATTATTCACACCCATAATTATATAAAGATTTTGTGAGAAAATAAAAAAAAAATTCTAAAAATATAAATGAAACTACTATTATTCTGGGACAACAAAAAGAAAATTGAGAATATAATTTTAAACAGGAGGAGCAATATACACTCCCATTTATTTGATATCACTGATATGCAAGTACATTTTTTTTTCATCAACAAGACGACGAAGACGACCACGACAACCAAGCTACATAGATAATTTGAGTGTTGATAATTAGCCAAAAGTAGGATTACATTCAGCTAATATTATTTAAACTGAGACGCTTAACTTAACTACACTTGGGCCACACTGTCCTCCTTAGCACTAAGCAATCCAAGGAAAGCAGCAGTGGCTTTTACAGCGTTGCTATTTCCCAACGGAAAACACGGCGGCCTTGGATTATTTTCTTTTACAATGTACGAAACTCCACGGAGCACAATAAATGGAATTTCATTCGAGAAACATGTCTGCATCCACAATAAACACATAGATAATATTATTGATTTTTTTTTAATACATTAAAATTAATTAGAGGTAGCAAAAAAGGAGGGTTAAACATTTCACTAACCATTGCAATAGCAGAATCAGAAGTGTCGAGCGTTGAAATATTGAAAGTGTCGTAAAGGAAGTCACCATATGCTTTATTTACGATGAACAAATCACCACTACCAGCCTTTAAGCCGAACTTAACTTTTGGTTGGTAAGGGTCTTGTACACATTTTTCTAACTCCAGTCACTCGATCTGAGATGCAATTCTTAGCCATTCTTCGTCTACTAGAAGCCAAAAACCTGTAGTTTTCTGTTGACGACCTGTGAACCATGTCGATTTCCAGTAAAAAATACGTCCTAGTGAGTTATTTCCCTCCTTGGGAACATTGAAATCTTCAAATGTCATATTTCCAGCAACAATATCTCTAAGGAACTCCTTAACTTGGTCTGTTGATGAATTCTATATAAAACCATTGAAGAAAATGTTAAGTACTACGAAAACTAAAAAATTTTAACTTGTTTAGAAAACTAAAAAATTTTAACTTGTTTAAAGGGAATAGAAAACGCAACTAATAATAATTATAATAATTAGTTACCCTCCAGCTCCAAGCTGCAGTGTAAGCAACTTGGTTAGGCACGGAAACATCACCAATGAACACACTTCCATATATGGAAGCAGCATCTCCATAATTAACAATCCCCCTGACATTAAATATATCCTAATTCGTGAAGAACACACTTGCACCGTTGAGCCCACATTAACCTAATTCGTGAAGAAAAAAGGTTAAAAGGAACAAATTTATAGACAACCTTATACAAATAAAATTAAGAAGGAAAAATCCTACCATTAGTTCGCCGGCCCTTGCATTTTCCCAATATAAAATAATTTTCCTGCAATTCAGTATCCAAGAAACCGTAATGGTCCATACATACAATAGTAATACTAAACAGTTAAAAAGAAGGTGGTAACGAAGAAAGGATGGGTTACCAGCAATTTTCTGAGTGGAGGTAACAGTGAAGACTCCAGAGTCAATGAGTGCATTCTCAGCATCATTAGTAAGAGAAACAACGCCCACTGGATATGTTTCAAGGCCATTGAATTTATTTCATACACAGGATTTCTCAAACTCAGTGGCGTGGACTGTTGTGCCATAGCTAACAGCCCAAAAACCACCACTGAAATTCGAATTGCCCACATCTTATGGGGTGGCCCTGCTAAAGCCATTCGAACTAAAATGTACCATCAAAAATAGCATTATTTGAACTAAAATATTCTTTATAATTGGTTTGGTGTATATGTGACCATGTGTAGGTAAATTTTTCCATATAAATGATATCAATCAAATATGTTCTAATTGACATTCTCATTTATAAGAGGAGTGAGAGTTCTCGACCCATTAGGCTCTCCCAATAAATAAAAATAAAATCATAAATGATAATTTTTTTTCTTAATTGAATCATCTTTTATTAACGGTAATAGATGATTTGCCCGATGAATTTAATATGATATATGAAAGTGAATCTAAAACAAAGGCCAAAATGGGTATGGCACCCGAACATGTCATGCAATATAAAACTATTAGAAGTAATGCATTTATAAAAATTTAGCTTCCATTTGTTTCCCAAATTATAGTTTTCAAATAAAATATTTTTAAAATAATTTATTTTGTATTATTTGATTGCAATATTAAAAATTATTTAAAAGATATTAAAATTTAATTTATAATTATAGAAATTTTGTATTTCAAAAACTTATTATTAAATATGAGAAAAATACATAAAAAGTGATAATTTATGATACTTGCGGATGGCTTATGGTGGTGTTTGCCGATGACTTACGGTGGTGTTGACTATGGCTAGCAGTTAGTGATGGTCAGTGAGCCAACTGAGATTAATAAATTAAAAAAAAAATTGTGTTTTTAAAAGTTATACTAAGTGTTTCTAAAAAAAAAATGGTAAGTGTATTAATAAGGAAAATATTTTTTTCTTGGAAGTGAAATTATATGCACAGATCCTTTCCCAAATATATATATATGCACAGAAGAGATTGTCAATATCTATAACTATGATTCTAGAAATACACATTACAGTAGGTAATTTAGGAAAATACACATTATTCTATTTTAGTGCCAAACTTTTTGCTAAAACAGTTGTGGTTGCAAAATAATTGATTTGAAAGTTATTGCTCTTTGGATAAAGATACTTAAATAATTAAAATACAAAATAATTATATATAATTTTAATTACTTATTATATAAAATTTGGAAGGAAAAAAACAGAAGAATAATAAAATTTTTAAAAAATTTATAATCAATTAAGATGTCAAAATACAAAATATTCATAAAAACTTAGTTTTATATTTGCTAGGTTATATATGTATTTACTATTTGATTATGACTCTGAAAGTTAAAACGATTCTAGCTAAAGCACCATATTATTATAAATAATATATAAAATTTTGTTATCGTATTACGTTGTTATGTTATGTTATAAATAATTATATATTTTATTATTTTAAAGTCTTAATATTTTATTTCAATAATTCATTTATGAATTTCACGAATATTTAAGAAAATAATCATAAAATTTACAGATAAAATGTCTCAAATCTTGTTCAAACATGTCCTGGGAAGAATGCAATGCTACTATTATTAGTTTAATTATATTACTATTATTATCTTCGTTAAGTTTGCTTTGTGAGACTTACGTGCCAATTTAGGAACTAAACATGTGGGGAAATGCTTCGACTCCAGCATGCCTCTTGGCTCTTTCAAAGGCCAAAACACCTTATTTAATTATGTGTTTGTGTCGAGGCCAAATTTAAAATTTGAAAGTATCAGGCCATGTTAAAACTATCTTATATTAGGTATCTCTTACATTATAAAGAAATAATTATATTAGGTATTTAATTTCTTCTTATTTCTAATTTTTTATTCAATAAAATTATATTTAAAAACTATATAAATTTGGATATTAATGTAAAAATATTAGACCAACGAGAATTAATCTAAGTGAAATAAATAAGAGGTTGAATGTCCAAACATTGTAAATAGAGAAATCCCAGTTGGTAACGTTTTCCCCTATAAATCGGTGCAAACATGATTAAACTTAACTCAAAATGTGATATAAATCAAAAAATATAAAACCATTTGTTATTTTCATTAATAGGCAGTGAGGTCAGCAGAATATAATTGCACGTTTAGGAAAAATTTATAGAGGAGGTTTGAAATCTACAATCATCACGGTTAGGAATGCAAATTTTATTTGAATATTATTTCCAGCTCAAACTGTAAATACATTGTACATGTGTAAACAAAAATTAATTTATAATTAATTTACAAAATTATTTAAGTTTGAACAGAAACTAATGCAAATATAATTAATTAAAAATGATTAAAATACAAATTCAATATAACCTCTATATATATATATATATCTCCAGCACCGTGACTCCTGTGCAAATCCGAAAAAAGCTAAATTTAAAAGTCTGAAGTGGTTGGACGGTTCAATTTTTTTTATTTCTTTAGCATATATACCAAAAAGAAAAACAAGTTCTGAGTTTAAAAAATTAAGATGCCTCTGAAGGTGTGCATGGGACCACGCAATTTTGGTGTCCGTTCTTGAAAATTGTCCCAAATTTTAATTCTATATTAATTATTTTGAATATTATTTTGAAACAGAATAGTTTTTCAACTATGACTGAGCCCGTACCAATAAATTTTAAAGGCATAATTAATAAAATAAATTTTCAATGTAAATTTTTCTTCTATAATCTTTGTAAATAAATTTTTTCTATTAAACGAAAAGAATATTAATCTATACAAAAGAAAATATTAATCGTAATTAACCTAATTACCTAATTATTGATTATGTCGAATGATATTATTACTTATCTTTCAAATGATGTTAGGGATTAGATAATGTAAGTATTAAAAAATTTAAATCAACCTAAATTGTAATATTAAAAAATTTAATCAACCTAAAGCAACAATAAATCAACACAAGGATGAGTTAAAAATGCAGCAAGATAATATATAAAATTTACTATGTTTTGAAAATTACTTTTGTTTTATGATACATGGTGGCTCTTATTAACTTAAAGAGTAACAACTAGTAATTCTTCCTACCATTCAATTATGACTTTATAGCGGATCCATAATTGAAATTTATTTGGGCTTTTTTTTTTTTTGACTTTAAATTTCTATTCATGAATTTTGTTTGGTTTGTAAAATTAATGACTAATAGTAATTTTATTTTTTTTCATGTGAAATGAAAATTAATCAAGATTAAGGAAAATTCCTAATTGATTTACAACCTAACCCATTCAGTTTTTTTATCTGAATCTCCCTCCTATCCCCATTTTAAAATGTGAATTAGAAGAAACTTATTTTTTTATGTCGATATTTTTCAATTTTGGAATTGAAATTATATAATTCCTGCTTGACCTCAATCTATCCATACACCCTTAATGCCTCGAAATAATAAAAAATTACTAAATATTTTCTTTTTCTTCCTGTTTTTTTAATTTTACTTAATAAATTATATTAAAGATTATTAATAATTTGACTTTTCTAAATCATTTCGTGTTTTACATATTGTTAAAGATATAGAGCCTGTCATATTGCTTAGTTTAAATTCTCATGATTTTAGGATAAGGAACATGCCTCCACTCCGCTATAATGGAAGGTC